TTTGAAGTACAAATTGCTAAGTTTATAATTTTTTCCCCTTTTTCTTTTATTTTTTTTTCCCTTCTTTCTTTTTTCTTTTTTTTTTTTTAAACAAAAAAGAAAACAAAACAGTTTTGGGGGTAATGTTTTGAAGATCCCTTTACCTGTGCTGGGCCAACTCTAATGAATCCATCTGGGAATTAAATTGTACTTGCTTTTCTTGCTATTTAAAACAGTCTCATACAGTTGAAATTTCAGATTTAGGTACAGCCAAATCAAAACATTATCAGATTTTATGGAAGCTAATTCAGAGGGTTTTAGTGACCCTTGTCAGGCAGATTATCACAGGTATTAGAACATGATTTGACAAGTTCACCCTTGGTTTTGAGGTGAAAAGGTTATATAAATAAATAAAAATAACATGTAAGTTATCTCTCACTTTTTTTATACTTTTACTTTGCCCTCATCTTAAACTGCAGTTGAGGTTGGTGCCACAGTGGGAGTTCTATACAAGCAGTGAAATCCCTTCTGTAATGAGTTTACATTGTAGAAACTAATCTTTTATGTATCAGTTAGAATCTGTCTTTTCTCATCAGCCTGAGAGCTTTTGCAGTTAGCTTATTTGCCATGCACCTTTTCAGTTCTTTGTGAACAGCTGTATCTGTAGATGGCAGTAGCGAATTTATTTATTTTTGTCAGAAATTCTAATAAAAGTTATGTTCTGTTACTATCATTAATAAGCCTTAAAATGAAAAATATCTTTGATAGAATAAAAAACAACAGCCTCTATGTATCAGGGGAAAAAAACACCCAAACCTATGTAATCTCTGAAAATTCAAATCAATTTTGAGAATTTCCTTCAGTGTTATGGAATGGAGGGCAATGGGGGTTAGTACCGTTTTAAAAAATCTTATATGGGACAGAAGCAAGTAATACTATAATACTGGGATTTTTTTTTTTATTATTATTATTACTGTCAGCATGGAAGCCAAAAGTATTAGGTGATGTATAGGATTTAAAAGTAACAATTTTCTGTGTTTTCTGCTTCGTATCTGAAAATCGTACCTATTTCTTATGAGGACAAAGAATTTCTTGTATTTTTAGAGCTCAAGTCTTATCTTGCTTCTCAGCACTGTACAAGGTGAGGTACCTTTTAGAATTTGTCTCTCAATGTAAAGAAACCACATCAGCAATTTATGTACAGTAATATAATCTTTCTGGGAATGTGGCAGGCATTTAAGCTTTCTTCTTACAAAGTTACTTTACTACCAGTTTGATACAAAGAGCGAGTAGAATCAGCACAAACACTGTCAGAACTGTTATTTGGCCAAAGCTTTGACAAAGCAAAATATTAATAAATAGGAATGGCTATATATAAGTACACATGTATTTGAAAATTGGAAGTAACATTTGCATGAATGCAGCAGTACATAAACAGGGGTGGATTGGTGATTATTTAATAGTTTTAAAAGTTCTGTGGTGAAACCAGATTCTTCCTGCTTTTTTGGAGCTTGTTACCAAGTAGCTATGTCCCTACCCAAAGAGGATGTTATTGTACCTTAAAATCATTATCAAATTCTAGATCTGGATTATCTTCACCTCCTCCCCCTCTGGCAGTGCAGGAGGATGGGGAGTGGGGGTTGTGGTCATTTCATCACACATTGTCTCTTCTGCTCCTTCCTCCTCAGGAGAGGACTCCTCACACTCTTCACCTGCTGCCTTGTGGGGTCCCTCCTACAGGAGGCAGTCTTTCATGAACTTCAACACGAGTCCTTCGCATGGGCTGCAGTTCATGAACTGTTCCAGCGTGGGTTCTTTCCACAGGGTGCATCCTTCAGGAACAGACTGCTCCAGTGTGGGTCCCCCACAGAGTCACAAGTCCTGCAGCAAACCTGCTCCAGCATGGGCTTCTCCTCTCCATATGACCACAGGTCCTGCAAGGAGCCTGCTCCAGTGCGGGCTTTCCACAGGATCACAGCCTCTTTCGGGCATCCTGCTACTCCAGCATGAATCCTCCATGGGCTGCAGGTCTGCATCATGGGCTGCAGGGGAATCTCTGCTCCAATGCCTGGAGCACCTCCTCCCCCTGCTTCTTCACTGACCTTGGTGTCTGCAGAGTTGATGCTCTCACATATTCTCACTCCTCTCTCCAGCAGTTTTCTTCTCCCTCTTCTTAAAGGTGTTATTGCAGAGGTGCTGCCACCTATCGCTGATGGGCGTGGGTTTGGCTTTGGCCACTGGTGGGTCCATCTTAGAGCCAGCTGCATTGGCTTGTTCAGGCATCGGGGAAGCTTCCGGCAATTTCTCAGAGAAGCCACCCCTTTAACCTCTCTTCCCCACCCCTTACTCCCCTTCCCCTATCCCCCCAAAACAAAATCCCAAAACAACAAAAAAAACCCTTGCAGCGCAAACACAATACATTCTCTGTGGCTGGAAAATTTATGCTGGAAACTTTTCCAATGATTTCGTATAACTGTATCTTTTTAAAGAGCTGGAATGGTTTTCATAGCTCTCCAAAATATTTCAGATTCTTGACTGATGAACATGTTAATAATACAATGTGTGCTAATGTTATAATGCTTCCAATTTAAAGCTCTCTTTTGACTTTTAGTCTAATTTGGTTTTATTCTTACGTATTCTTTTTAATCCTGTACTGGATGGTCAAGCTGGATGCTTGATTAAATATCCAGAATATTTGATAATAATATTCTGAGCTGATTTTGAAGAAGATACCTTGTTTAAAAAAAAAAAAAAAAAAACAAAACGAAAAAAAACACCAACAAAAAATCCTGGGTATTTCTTCTGGTTTTACCTTTTCTCTTAAAACCAGTATTTGACTAATGGAATAGTATACATACGTTGACTTAAATTTCTTAAAAATCTTCTGTATTTTCTGAGAATTGGAGATTAGTTTTTAGAAGGTTTAGGTTTGCTTGAAAGATATTTTGCCCCCAGAGATGAAAACAGACATATTTCCAAGGCATTAGTGAACTTCCTTGCAAGCAAGTGCTTAAATTTAAATTTATTCATGCCTAACTACTAGAGCTTCAAATGTCCATTAGTCTTAACAAGTGGTAAAGAAAATAGATTAGGATTAAAAAGGAAAACATTATGAAGGCAAAGGCATAGGCCAGCAGAGCAGAAGTAATTTCTGCTCTCATACTTCAAGAGCCTGCAAAAAGGAATTTTGAGAGGCAGACTGATATTCCAGGCTTTGCAACAATGGTTGTTTAGCTATTTGTTGTGATTAATTACTTAAATCTCTTCCTGTTTGCCAGTGGGTTCTGATAGCTGTTTATGTACTTTTTATTTGTCAGATAGGATGGGTAAACAGTTTTTGGCATGTGTATTATTTGCAAGGTACTTGCTTTATTTGTTATGCGAGATATTTGTGTTGCCTATTTGTTTACCAGAACATTTTGAAAAGGAAAATAATGAACAACAAAAGGAAAAATCACAGCTGGCACTGGTGTTTGTTCCTTCAGTATGTATTCTTTCTTACAAAAAGGCATGGCTATTCTTGTGAGCATCAGTTACTAGTGGACACTGAATACAACAAAATGGTGTCAAAATATGAAAGAGAATACAAGAAGATGGTGATAGCAAAATACTTACTGGACTAAATTCTATCACAGAAGTGAAGCTTAGGGAGACAGAGGGTGGTAGTGTGACTTGATTCGGAAAAGTCAAATGGTGGTGTGTTTTTTTGTTTGGTTTTTTTTTTTGTTTTTTTTTTTCCTTCTTCTTAAATGAGGATGTTCTGTGTACTGTGACCACTGAGACAAGAAATCTTACAGAGGTACTGATGCTGGAGAGAATGCGCCATTTTTCCAACCTGCTCTAAGTAGAACTGAACCTTCAATTCTCTTTAATAATATATCAAGTAAAAGTATGGAGGTAGGTCAGAAAGCCAAATCAAAAATATTGATAGGATGGCTTTTCTTGATTTTGAAATACATATGAAGCTTTTAACATAAGACATAAGGTGCTTTCTTCCTTTATATATTCTGCATAGGAAGTGAGGATGAAATGCCATCTGAAAGTAGCATTATTGGTTGATTTTGAGCTAGTAAAATCTCATAGCTCTTGGCTTTCTGTCAGCAGTCATATTAAAACAGGGAGTTAAAAATCTTTTACAACAGTCTTTCTACATCTTGATTCTCTAGACTGAGTAGGAGGTAAACATCAATGGGAAACAACAAAGTAACTACCTCAAAGAGCTGCCAAACAGCATTACATTTTTACAAATTGTTACTGATTTCAAATGTTGAGTCAGATAAATCACTTTTCCTGCTGACGTATACCATGGCGATGTGTAAAACCTCAAATTATCTTTGTGTTCGCCCAGAGTTTCTTGTACTTGCTGCTAAAGTCCATAGAGATATTGCAGTTTGGGTTATTTTTCTATTATGTAATGTCTGTGAATGCCATATTCTTTAAACGTTCCATAGACTTCATGAAGAATATGAGCCTAAGTAGACTATAAAAGCTATGTAGCCATATTAGAGGTTGGCCTCGGTACTTGTTTTGTAGGAACACATTTGCTAAAAAAAAAAACCCAAACCAAAAACCTATAAATCCTCACCCTGCTCATCATTTTCACTTCAAATGATTAAATGATGTGAGGAGAACTTACAAGGCATGACTTTGCAAATGAGCTTGTTTGTATTTTATACCTGCAGTATTCATATAGCATGGGAAAATACATCTTTTCCTATGTCTAGTCCTGCTTCATGAGGATCACAGTGTCAAATTATATACTATGTGCATTTTGACTGAAGAACTAGAGATGGAAAGCTCATGTTCAATGAGATAAGTTACTTTTTTAAACTTTGGCTTCTTCTCATTGGTATGCAAGTTTAGTGTGTAAGTTTGGAACTGATTTTAAGGTTCTAATTAGTCTCTAGAGAATTCATGTGGGCAATAGATTGCTCATTAATATATCAGCTTTCCATTATGGTGATTGGCTATTTCTCATGTCTAATGTGGAAACTGAAATGATACGTTAATTTGCCTTCCAGATGTTGCAACTGCCTGTCCAGATAAGAAGTCTGTGTTTATGTACGTGACTTCTCTGTTCCAAGTTCTGCCCCAGCAAGTGACTATGGAAGCCATCAGGGAGGTGGAGATGTTGCCACGACACTCAAGGGTCACTACAGAAGAGCACATACAAGTACATCATCAACAGCTTTTTTCACAAGAAGTGAGTTGTTTCACTTTTCTGCTTTCATCTTGCTTCTCTAAGGTGGTTGTTTCCCTTACCTACCCCATAAGTTTGATGTTAGATGGTGTCCAGGATTTGTCCAATGGAAGGCAAAAAAATCAAGCACATAATGGACGAAGTCTCCATCAGAGGCAAGTCAAACGTACTTGTCTTCATGAACTGTGCTTCTGTACTGCTTTTCACCTTGCATGGGGCTGTTTTAAACCTAAGTATTCAGCAAATAAGTGCTTTGCTCTTCTGTTTTACAGCAGTGGGTGTTTTGATTGTGAAAGAGCACAAGGAAGAACACAGAAACAGGATTTACATTTAAACAACATTTTAACCTTTCTGAGAGAATAGTAGCTGATGTTTCTCCATATTCATGAAACTTTTTTTACTTTTTTAGCGTTTTGTTTACACTGACTTGTATTTTAAGACCACCAGATGACCTCTCAAAAAGTTCATGTAATATTGGAATTAATTTATATTTGCTATGTCAGTTATGGTTTTGACTGAAATCAGACAGTGTCTGCTGAATTGTTTAGTGGATTTTAGGCCTAGTGTGCTTGTCTGAACTTAATCTGTATCTTGCTTTTGGTATGCTCATTCTCTTAGATTACTGAGCAGATGAGTGCTGGCTCTTTTATTTAGGATGTGCTACAAGATTGTTTGTCTTCTGAGTCTTTGCTTGTAAATTATAAAGAACCTTTGATTTACATTGGTATTCTGCTAGTATTGAGTCCTGATAGTTTTTTACTTTTGGAGAGGAGGTCAGATTAAATGAGAATTTTTCTTAATACCATCCCAATCTTGACTGCTGAATACCAGCACAGTCGAAAAATATAACTGGTGATGACCTTCCTCCTACTTTTATTTCAGTTACACTTAAATTCATTGTTTTACTCCTATAACCCCTGCTCCTATCCATATATTTGTTCTTTCCACCTCTAATTTATTCTTTATAGATCACAGTCAGTATACCCCAGAGACCTGCACCTTCTCCTAAACCATGGTTCAAAAGTTACGCATATACACAAGCTGTGTATGTCACATCCCCAGACCAAAAAAGGAGGCAGATTCCTCCACAGGTCTGTCAATACTGTCATTTCTTTTAAAGCCTTATTAAACTTTTGCTTGGAGTGAAAATGTTTGTACATTTTGCTTATATCTGATCTTGATCTTTTTCAGTTTGGTTTTTGTTTTTCATTAGCATCTGTCAAGCGGCTACTTTTTGCTGTATGTTTCAGCATGGCTGGCAATAGGTGTTATGCTGATTGTTAGGGGTGAATAACATTCAGACATGGCTGGTTTAGAATCATAAACTGCTCGTTAAGTCTTGGTTTTGGTTTTTTTTTTTCTAAATAGCACAAGTATTGTCTTAAATTACTATTAGATGAACAAACCAAACACAAGCTATATTTGGCATCCAATTACTATATTTCTGTCTTGGGTTTGAGTACAGAAAACCAGGAACCATTGGTTTTCTCTTGCTTTTCCTAACCCTCGTATCTGTTAAAGAAAATAAGTGCTGACATTTGTCAGAAGGTTACTGTAGTTAGAAAGAAGGGAAAGGAAACAATAAAATGAATATTCTGTATATGACCTGGATTATTAGCTTTTAACAGCTGGTCATTTTATCACAAATAGCATCATGCCAACATTCAGGTTAGGGTTTTGTGTTTGTTTTTTTTGACCTTTAAATAGCTGTGATTGTTTAATAAAACCTGTTTCAAGCAATCCTTATAATGAGCATTTCAGTAGTCAGATTTTTATAATTTCTGACAAGTGTGAGAGCCAAAGGTCATATTGTGTAACGCAACAGGCTTTCCTTTCGTTACTTTGGGGAAAAGGCATCTGCATGTATTTGGCATTACAGTATGGGTTTGTTTGTTAATTCTGTCTAACCTCTAAAAATTTATTGCAAAACTGCACCTCAACAGTATGTTTCCAAATCTACTCTTCAACTGACTGGTATTTTCCCAAATAATCACTTCATTTAAATACTCCAGGAAACAAATCCTGTGCACATAAGCATGAGCCCTGCTGCTTTATCCTAACATCCAATGTGTTGCGCTGATGATTAATGCAGCTTTTAAACAAGGTATTTTAAAACTGGTATAATTGACTATACTGATACTATACTGAAAATTAGTTACTATAGTAACTTAAATACTATACTGATAATTGAGAAGAATGAAGAGTTGTGATATACCATAGCTTTATGTTTTCAGGGTCTGTAGGAAATTCTGTGAACTGTTTGTTAGTTCACATTTGTATGGCAGGTGGGTCTGTATGTTTATCTGAAGTAGTGACCTTTGAAAAGGCCAGATTGCTTATCTCTACTGATCATTAAAGCGATGATTTCTTTCTTTCCCCCAGTGATTTTGATTCAATAGAAACTATATTGTAATGCTTGTGTAGAATGCTCTTACTCTAAGATACTGCCACATGTACTTTGTGGTTTTGTTGTGCATGCATGTACTGGAAGTATGCAAAGGAAGGCATTCATAGATTTTCCATGTTCATTCTAAACAGCAAAGGCATTTCTCTGTCTGTATACACAATAGCATTAAGGAATTTTGCTTTGTCATTTTCTGAGATTCAGAAATGTTCTAAGCAATGACATTAATATGGGTGTGTTAGTCTAAGGTAAACAGTGAGCTAAGGAGAGAAGTAGGAAGGATACCTTTTAAAAGAGCAATACATTTGTATTGAGGCAGGGGGGAGCAAACACTTTTTTAGATGTTCAAACCTTCTTCAGAAGTTCCAGTCCTGAAAGCACAAGATACTATGACAAAAATGAGAACGTCAAAAATATAAAAAAAAATTATGAAACAATATGGTGTTTGGAATTTAGCCACACTCTCTGCAGGAAGCATTTGTTTTATTCAAACTATGTTTAGCTGTAGCAAAGAAATAATACATATATTTTGATGGAGTAAAACATCCTTAAAAATGGAAAAGGAAATTTCATTTGTCTGACAGTGATGTCATTAGAGCAAAACCAGTAATTTCAAAAAACTGTGGATGATGTACTGAGGCAGCAAAATTTAAAAAACAAATATGCATTTTTTAAAAGGTAGAAAACAGGATTTTGCTTATTGTGTTATAAGTTCAAAGTTATTAAAAGAAAAAAGTACCACTTGTAGAATGATTTCTGCAAAGTGATTTGCAAGTCATTTGGAAAATATATTAAAATAAAGTATGTTTACCTCCCAAGCATGAACAAGACATAAAAATAAAGTTCATGTTTTATATGTTACTGTTCAAGAGAATCTTTTAACTTTAAAGTCTAGCTCCCATTAATGTAAGGTTGATATTTCTCCGGTCTAGGAGTATATAAAGTTTTTCTACCTTTCTTTTTAAGAGAAGGTCTTCTGTCTGTTAGTTTGAAATGATTTTCGTGTGCTTTGTTCAGTGGAGAACATATCTCAAGTTAATCTGTTTGCACAAATATAACAAATGTAATATTGATTTGTCTTCATACTGTATTCTGATCATTTTCTTCTGGAGCATAAAGAAAGGAGTTCCAAAAAGGAATTCTATTGTTGTCAGAAACAAGCAAAAACCTTAAAACACAAAAGGGAGAAGGTGGAGACAGAGAGAGCAGAGGTAAGAAACTCTGAAGATATTCCTTCCTTTGATTAAACAAACAAACGAACAAATGACACCCCAACCTAAGAAAAAACAACCAAACAAAAATATCCCAAACCCATTCATAAGCATCATGCAAATACCGATTGTGTCAGGAAGGGCATCATGTATAGAGGGCAGCAGCTTCAGATGCAAGTCAAAGACTATCAGTGAGATAAGGGAGGACAAGATGGAACAAGAAATTGACTGTCTGTTATGGGATTAATAGCAGAGGTGGCATGTTTCCTGTGTATGTACTATGCTTCTACACAGTTTGTGCTGAGATGGTATTTTATTCGGTATAGCCTCTTGGCTATTTGTTCCATACACTTAACATTTCGTACAATTAACAAGTGAATTTCATTGTTGAGGTGTGATACACATAAGGACAGAGTACCATTTTCATTATTAATTTTGACCTTTTATTTATATAGTCTAAGGAAAAGAGCTTTTTTTTTTCCCTCTAGTATAATAGCATCTTCATTACAGAGTAAGCGTGTTGAGTCTTGTTGCATAAAACATGGCTAATTTAAATATGTTTCATTTCATTGTAACTTTTCTATGATGATCATTTAATCAAGTTAGTAGCATTCCACTAATTAGGATTGTCCTTTCTCAAGGCTGGGAAGGGAACTGAGAGATAAATCAAAGTTGGTGGTACATTGCCAGAACTCAGGAACTTCCTGTTGCTTTCTTGTATGTCTTTTTTCTCTGGAGATAGGAATTGCTGCCTTTCCCTTTCATAGAATCATAGAACAGTTAGGGTTGGAAAGGACCTTAAGATCATAAAGTTCCAACCCCAATGCCAAGGGCAGGGACACCTCACACTAAGCCATGTCATCCAAGGTTCTGTCCAACCTGGTCTTAAAGACGGCCAGGGATGGAGCATTCACAGCTTCCTTGGGCAACCCATTCCCATGCCTCACCACCCTTACAAGTAAAGAACTTCCTCCTTATATCCAATCTAAATTTCCCCTGTTTAAGACGTTAGCCCTTGTCCTATCACTACAGTTCCTAATGAAGAGTCCCTTCCCAGCATCCCTATAGCCCCCCTTCAGGTACTGGAAGACTGCTATGAGGTCTTCACACAGCCTTCTCTTCTCCAGGCTGAACAGCCCCAACTTCCTCAGCCTGTCTTCATATGGGAGGCTCTCCATCCCCCTGATCATCCTCGTGGCTCTCCTCTGGACTTGTTCCAACAGTTCCATGTCCTTTTTATGTTGAGGACACCAGAACTGTCCACAGTACTTCAAGCAAGGTCTCACAAGAGAGTAGAGGGGCAGGATCACCTCCTTTGACCTGCTGGTCACGCTCCTTTTGATGCAGCCCAGGGTATGGTTCACTTTCAGGGCTGTGAGTGCACACTG